CTTTATAATACCAAACTTTTATTTTGCCTCTAGGCACATTAGCAGTTAGCTGTCCAGTTTTAATCGAGCCACATTATAAACTTCAATGTTACTCACATTTGCTTTTTGATTTTCCTGGTGGCTCGTTGTGTATCTTCTGAGTTGAAGGGCTGATCTTCCAGGTTCATGTAAACATTGTCCTGATTGTGAATATCCGTTTGGGTTTTTGGGGTAGGGGCAGAATACTGGATTGCCATTTCTGTCTTCAATGGATTGTGTTGAATTTGATTTCTCTTCTCTAACCCATGTCTTCCAGAAGTGTTCACCCCCAACCATATTGTGGTATGCAATATGCAAATTCGTTCATCACTACTTACATAGCAAAGATTCATTAAGGGCAGCTAGATGCATAGTTGGTTCAGAAAATATGTTCAAAAAACATTAATCAGTGGTTGTCATCAAGAGGAAGGCAGATATTGAGGTGCTGTTTGGGATTCAAATTTATACCTGGCATATTTCAATATTTTATGAATTATTTAAATGGCAAGGAGAAAAGAATTTTTTTTTGGATTTGGAGATGATACAAATATCTTAGAAAACAGGAATTACATACAAACAAAACCCACATGATGGAGGAGGAGTGAGCAGTTTGTGGATCAATGCACTGAGCAGGGAATTGGACAGTGATTGAAATGTCTCTTTCCAACATTATGATTCAGTTATGAAATCAATGTTGTAATTTTAAGATTTATTTACATTTATATTGATCTGGTACGACATATTGCGAGCAACTCCAAGGAAGAGCTGGGGGGGGGAGAAATAGTTTCAATTAAAGTGAGCTGTAGATCCAGGTTATTGGATGAAAGTTTTGCTCTTGCTACTAATCTAAAATTTTGAAAAGCTCCTAAATATTTTTTAGGAATTAAGAACGTTTTAGTTCTATTTTACAGCATAAGCTATTAGCATATTCCAGAAATTTAGAAGCACACAATTATGAATGTCTTATTGTCATTCAGATAATCACTTATGGCAGTACTGTGGTTGCAGGAAATGTAGTACTGTTATTTTAATGCAAATATCTAGTACGCTGTAGTATTTCCCCTTTAGATATTTTACAGCAATTATATATTTTTCTTTTTTATCCTAATTAATTGTGACTTTTGTGTTTTATCTTCTAGTCTATGATCAATTAGGATTGATTGATTGCAAAAATCTAGGAAGTGGTAATAAGATTTACCAGTGAAAATAGAGTTTAATGCAGCATCTATTCTGTTACCCTCTTGATGAAGCTAATGGAAGAATAAGTGCTACTGCAAACATTGTTGTTTGTGATGGGGTAGCAGGAAAAAAACAGCAACACAGACACTATTTCACCTTGTCCTTTTGTGTACATACAACATCTCCCCATAGCAAACTACATATTAATTACTAAGCTTCATGACTGCTATGGGAAGAAGCTGAGCTCAGGTGTATTGAATACTGACCAGTAGTGTCAGATAATCACTGTGGAAATTAATCTCCTATGTGACTAAATGAATAGTGGCATCTGAAAGTGCTTTAAGTTTAACTCTCCTGCTTGAGCAGGGGGTTGGACTGGAAGACCTTCAAGGTCCCTTCCAACTCTATTATTCTGTTCTGTTCTGGTTGAAATGGTTCAGAAAAGTCTTGAGTTGTTTCTCATGCAGCTCTTCACCTTCTTAAACACAGAATAGCTTGTTGAGCCATGGAAGATATTAGATTTTTTTTGGCTGGTCTTCTCCAACAATCTGCTTCCGGGCATCCTTTCTTAGCTGCACCATCTGTTTAGCTTGGAAACTTGCTTGAGGGTGCCGAGATGAAGTTTTTGTTCAAAAATTTCTTCAATTCATTTAATATAAGTGTAGAATAGTAATCATCGACTATATGACCAGCAATCCATGTTTTGCCATAATTGGTGGAAGACTGTGACTATTGTAATAGATATTTATGACTGGAATAAGGACACTTGAAACTATGTTGAGTTGAAGGTATTTTCAGAAATTTCTTGTAGATTCTTGAATAGAGTTTCCTGGTTACTTATCATTAAAGCATAGATACCCATAATGATTTATATGGGTAGCACATAAATCCAATCCAGTCCAATTAATAAACAAATGGATAGGTACGTAGGTGGGTAGATTGAGAGAGAGAGAGAGAGAGTGTAGATGGATGACATATATAACTGAGGTAGAAGCAGAAGGCCCTCATAGAGAAGAGCAGTGCCCTTCCATTTTCTATAACTTTACTCGTTCAGATGATGATTTGTCCTTTAGAGGATGGGTAGCTGCCTCTGACTACTTCATACAATTCTCTTTTTAACATACTGAGAAAAGGGAATGATGAGTCTCTTAAGGAAACATAAACACGGTGAATTCATTAGAAGGGTCATTATAAATAAAGCGCAGAGGAAGTGCCTGAAGAGCAAGCTCTTTTGAGGGTGTTTATTACAACAAAGAGCTTCTCTAATAGGGCAACAAAAAAAAAAAAAAAAAAAAAAGCACTCTGCTGCGATCGTTAATAAACATTACTGATTTCTTGAGGGCGAAATGCCTTTTTACAAGCAGCAACCTGTGCAAAAACCAGTGGTGTCATATGGCAAAAATGTCCCTACCTTTGATTCTAAAACTTCCATTGTAATAAACTATGAAACTTTGGTGGCAAAACCATGAATGGTGTTTGACTATGTCAATTTATAAATGCTATAAACATGAACTGTAAATATTCCTGGGGTGCAGTTTCAGATATGTTTGGAAAACTGTGCTTAGAAACATGCTTGGAAAATAGAATGGAAGAAATGTAACTAGATTTTGGCAGAACCTAAAGTGTTTAGTGAATTATGCCTTGATTTAACAGCATGATAATTATATTGTAAAACACAAGTTTAAATATCTTTGGACTGTATTTCTAACTGCACAGTATGAGAGACATAAGAAATAACAGAATTGCTCTGTTTAGTACTGTTTTGAGTTAGTGAAAAGATAATATTTTTTTAAAAGAGTACTAACTGGGGATGATTTGAAAAAGTTGAGATTGTAAAAACTATTACCTTAAACACGTAAAGATTTTGTTGGTAGCAATGTGGACTAGTTTGGTGTAGTGGTTAAGGCCCTAGGCTAGAAATCTGTGAGTTCTAGTCCCACCTTAGGCATGAAAGCCGACTGGGTGACTTTGGGCCTGTCACTCTCTCCCAAGCCCAACCCACATCACTTCTTGGCATCTTACTTCTCCGCCATGTCTTACCTGACTTCCAGCTCCTGCCATGCCCGGTGAGGTGGGGGGAGAAGACACAGCAAAGGGAGCTCCATCTCCGTCCATGAGTCTCGCTTTTCCGCCACCCCACCCCTCCCCACTTGCCACTCCCCCTCATCGGCCGAGATCGGCAAGCCAGATTCAGGGAGCTGAACGCGCTGCCGCCGCCCGGGAGGAGAAGAAAGTGAGAAATGGGCTCTTTCACAGCACCTCCTCTTTCTCTTCTTCTCCTGAGTGGCAGCAGTGCATCTGGCTCACCGAATCTGGCCTGGTGATCTCGGGTGGCAGTGGCTCTGACCCGATCCCCACCGACAATGCTGCGTGCAAGAACTGGCCACACAAATCCCGCTTCATGGCTGCACAGACAGCCCGCACTGGCCACTGCTCGGAGCTCCAATGCCAGTCCCCCTTGCCCCAGTCCCAGGTCAACAGGGCTAGGGCTAGCAAGAGTTTTTTTTGTGGCCGCTCTTTTTGCGGCTGCCATTAAGAGAAGGGGTGCACGAGCTAGGGTTTGCAGGAGCGGCCTCCGCAAGGCTGTTCCGCGTGGATGGCAGGTGTGTGTGGGGCATGTCCCCACTTTCGCCCCCCTGCCTCGTCTCTTCACCTCGTGCTGTTTGCATGGGAAACAACAGAAAAGCTGCCACAATTGCTGGAGTCAGTGTCCTGAGTGGCACCAGCAAAGCAGCTGGTCGGCGCTCTGGTACCAGTCTTCCTGCCACAGGCCAAGGTTTAGGGGCCTCCTGCACCTCAAAAATAATAAGACCCCCAGTAATAAGGCCAAGGCCATATTTTGGGGTTCAAAAGAAAATAAGATCCTGTCTTATTTTCAGGAAAACACAGTATTCGAAATGTTGAATTTATTGTCGTGTCGCTAATACTGACAATATTGTTGGCAGATACCTTATTTTATTTCTGGTACTTGTCAAACAACCAGAATTAGTGTCTGAAAAGCACTTTATTTGCTTTCCTGAATAGATCTCTTTTTGAGATATAACAAAAGCGAAGGGAAAATGGCCAAGTCACTTCTTTTCAGAGATCTCCTAGGATAGAAAGGGATTGTGTTCAGCCAAGATTTCGTTCTTACCTGGATAAAAGTTAATAAGCTGAACTGGAGTGTCCATGTAATTGAGCCTGACTTTAATAGATAATTAAATTTCTCATCATTTTGATGCAACTGCAGGTGCTCAAATATAGTACTGTATGCAGCATCCTTAAAACTCTTTTTAAGAGGGGGAAGGATAAGATGGGTGAGAAAGCAAGGAAGGAAAGGATCTTTTTTTTTTGTTGTATCCCTGAAAATCATTCTTAGAGGCTTTCTGGGTGACACAATTGAGAATACTAACTTCTTTTTTGATAACGGTATTGATGCAGAACTGTTAGTGGTGGGGCATCGGAGTAACTGTTAATAGTCAATTGGCATTGATTTATTAAGGTTTTAAGTTTGTTAAGGTGTTTGTTAAGGTGTTAAGGTGCTGAGGTCCCCAGAAAAAATGTTGAAGGCTCTTCAGATTTCTTTGGGATTATGAGTCAGCACTTCTGTGGTGGCTCCTGTAGCCAATGGCAAGACAACCTCTTGGCCTATTGTGGCCTATTGAATGACTGGCAGGTCAAAGTGCTTGATGGCTGGAACGGGATCCAAACATAGACTAGGCAGGGCAGCCATTTGCAATATATGATGAGCTGGCAGTGGAGCAGTGATAGTGTTGCCATCAATCACGTGTTTGGCATTGGACAGTGCTGGACTGGACAGCTCCTGAGGTATCTATTTTTTTTTTATTGTTGTTTAAAGAATTGGCTGACGAGAAATGCAGGATTTGAGAGGTTTAAAGGGAAAGGACTTTGTTGATGAAGCTGGTTGGTGTCCATGTTTTTCCTCTTTCCCAAATGGGAGGCTGGGATGCGTACAATTGGAAAGAGAATATTTTGTGGGCACAACATCATTTGCTACATTCCCTGCATCCTGAAATGCAAGAAAAACTCATGTCAAAACTCCATTCATCACTGGATTCCTGTAAACACAACCCATCTGGATGTCATCTTAATATCAGATCACCGTTTGGCCTCTGAATTTAGCAGCGTGATCTGGGAGCGGGCTGCAAGAATAGGTCCAAAAGGCTGCATGTGGACTCTAGGCCATCCATTATCTGTCACTGCTCTATACAGAAATAAAACAAAACCCATTATTTGCACGGTGCAAATTAGTGTGTTGGGGGAAAAACTGGATGCAGAATAGCCAGATTTGAATAGCAAAACAGTCTCAGGCTTCTGCAGCTTGTTTATTACATTGCACAGAAGTTCGCCCTGTTGCCAAAATCAGTGGCTTGAATTTTCATTTTAGAAATATCAGCACAAAAAGAAATCTACCTCGATACAATGTAAGAATTACCAGTATATGTACTTAGGGAGGAGATAAACTGGAACTTCCTCAAAACAGGTTGACCTCTTCAATAGTACCAGCAAGTATATCACTTTCAAAGAAATACTGGGACACAACTCATTTTAAAAATGTGCCCTTTCAGAAGTGTTAATATTATCCACAAGGCATATTATTGGTATCCTTTGTTTCCCTAATATTTTAATTAAATGGAATGTATGGTCTGACCAGCCATTTTTGGTGTCCTGTTCTGTAGGCAATTTCTGTCAAGGCTTGACCTTGATCAAGAATTGGGCTCTTTGCTCCTCTCACTATGCAAATGACACTAATTAATCCACACAAACATCAATATTTTTGCAAAGCAAAACCCCAAGTGCTGTTTTATGACCATGTAATTTACAAGACCTTAAACTACATTAAAATTACCCCATACAGTGTTTACAGTTTAATTACACGGCTATTTGCCTTACCCAATCAAGTGTTATTCATATAGCCCTTACTCACTGGCCCTCATCTTACCTAAAAAGAAAAAGAAAACAAACCCTCATGCCTGGAATAAGAACAGCAAACATTTAGCAAGATGAATTATTTCAGATTGCTTTGTTTTTGTGAACATTAAAACAAATTACTCTATATAAGATCATTGTTACAGTATGTATCTATTTGCATTTCTCACTGATGCCTACTTCACTTGGATAAATGCCAGGGAGTTGTGGTGATGGTGATGATAAGGAGAAGATGATATGAAAACTATTAGGTGTCCATATGTTGTAAAATGAGGTGAGGAAGTCATGGTACAACGCTTAGATGGTGGAATGGATTATTTCATTTTGGAATACAAAATAGGGATTGCAAATTCAAATGAGCTGATCCGAGAAATATATTTGCAAGAAGAAATTAACTCAGCAGATGTAGGTCCACTAGATTCTGAGGAATTGGTTTTTGTTTTTAATTGTCAGAAAAACTGGGTCCATGGGTGGGGTGGGACTTTCAGGATGCCTATAGCCAAGGATCCCACTTAACAGTAGATTGAGAAATAGTGATTCCACATAGTCACTGAGCAAACTGTAGGAGATGACCAGGCTGAGCCCAAAGGAGGGGGTCAAATACGTCATAAATCACGAGTCCCTGCTTGCCTGCAATGAAATCTAAGTCCAGCCCACCTTGAGTGCCTCTCTTATCTCCCGCTCATTTCCCTTGACTGTTAGTTGGTCAGATTCTTGTACAGAGCTGAAGCTTGCAATAAATCTTTATATTCGTTTGAACTGCCTGAATCTCCTGAATTCCCCAATGCTTGACACAAACTTCATGGATATGCACGCAGGACTTCTTGAGCTCCATCACAAAGACTTGGCTCCCATTTCTATCCTGTTTAAATGGAAGGGCATTTTGATTCCCACCATGGACGAATAGCTGCAGAAGCTGATGGAGTTGGCAGAAATGGCTAAATCGATCATTTTGATTAAAGAAAAGAATATAAGTACGTTTGTTGCCACACGGAGACCGCTTCTGAACTTTGTGCTTGAGGTGGAAAAAAAATGAAACTTTGATTTTGGGTTTTACCAGTTAGATTGATAGACGTTTATAGAAATGGCTAGTTTATATTACTATGAAAAAGCAAAAAGTTGTGTTTTGATGTTAATGCTTTGTTTTACTGCATCAGAGGGAGTTGGAAGTCAACACTTTTTTTTCTTCTTCCCAGCCCTTCCTCACTTCTTTTTCTCCTCTTTCCCCTCACTGTCTTCCTATTTATTTTTGTATTTTGTATCTTATCTTATAACCTAATAAAATGTAAACAAACAAACAAACAAACAACAACAAAGACTTGGCTCCATTTTTATCCTGTTTTCTCTGTAACTGTAGCATGGTTTCCCTTTGCTTAATCTTGTACTTGGCTTGTGAGCATAACACACTCTCTCTGGAATTGTCGTGTTCTCTTTGGGCTCCTGCGGTGACTTTTTGGTGCTAAAACTTATGGAAATGGGACAGGGAGAATTATATCATTTTAATTCCATTTCCAATACTTCTAACAGCAGCTTGGAGAAAATAATGAGAATCAAAGATCACATGGCTACAGATCCCTCGGGAATGCATAATGCTTTTCTGTGTAAGTATAGCACGCAAGCAGTTAGAATCATGGCAGGATTCAGATCAACAACCATTATGCTTTTGCATTTACTGATATAATCTTACATTACTTCAATTTTGGTATCCCCCCCCCTTTATTTCCAAATGGATGAAAAATGCCATGCATCAATCCCATGATACCAAACAGTGCTCTGATTATTATACCTGCCAAACAAGAGTCGGGTCTGTAGACATTTAAGTAATAATACAGCTCTTAATCCTGGAAGCACCGCAGGACTCTTTGTCATTTATAATGTAGATTATTTATGAACATGCAAATTATGCTTGGGCTCCTTGGAATACTAATGTAGAAAACCTCATTTACATTATTTCCAACCTATATTATTATTTACTCAAAAACCACCAAGCCCCAGAAGAAGTAATGTAAAACAGGGCACTGGATCTTGGTACACCGATCCAGAGATAATTTGATGGCAATAGTAAGGTTAGAGAGAAGCAGTTTGGTGTTGTGGTTAAGGCACCCAGGCTAGAATCTGGGACTGGGGAATTCTTAGTGGTTGGGGAATTCTGGGAGTTGAAGTCTACAAGTCAAGATTGGACCCCCTGTTATAGACTTACTCTGCCTAGTTTAGTTTGATTCTGAACAAGCTATCAGCCATCCTAGAGTTAAACCAGTGGGACTGATGTTATAGTCACAGGAGGAAATCCAAAGCATTGAAGAGCATATCTGGTTCTTGAAATCAGCGCTGCTAAAGCGCACTCCAGGAAAATTAATAGTCCAATATCTTTTAATAGCAGCGAAAACATTCTTGACTCTGTTCCACTGTGGAATGGATTGCTGTGTCCCAACCATCTTTAAGAAGGATCTTTTAATTCTGCTTTGCAGCAAGATTTAGAACTGGGCAAGTAAGGATTTATATTACATCAAAGTAGCAACCCCTTGCAAAGTGTTATTTCAGAGTTTTAATTTTCTTGCTGGTCTCTTCATTTTACATTTGTGCTTTGAGTATCATTGCTAGTCCTAGTGTTCTCGCAGCAATTTTGAAAAGATACTAGATTCTTTGTCAATGTAGAAGAATAGGGTACTCAGAGAGCTGGTAGTGGCATACCTCGGATATGCAGTCATGAGTGAGGAACCCGCTATCAAATAGCTCTGATTGGTTCACGGACTTGGGATGGTGGTTTGTCTTAAATAAAACGTGCCTTCCAAACCAGCAGTCATTTGAGGGCATTTTGCCTAATAAGTTATGCATTTGTGGAATGTAGTCTTAATTTTTTTTAAAAAATCAGGCTGCCTCAACCATGGTGTCTTTTCTTTCGAAGTCTCTTAGAGCATAAACCCAACGATAAAAAAATAAAAGACTAGTTTTTAAGAATGGTAGCCACGCACGATACAACCTGCCAAATACAGTGGGTAAGAATGGTGAGGTTAGTAATGTTGCATGCAGGAAGACGAAACATTAATTTGATGGAGAGAGCAATCACAGAAATCAAACTGTGAATCAATCTGTTTATAGTTGACTAGAGGAAGAAGAAAAAGGTGGATGCTGATAAAAGAGCATGCTTTTCAGAGTTGGCTGCTTTTGAAATGAATGTCAGCTTCTTAATTCATCTTGAGAGGTATCTAAAAATCCTTTACACATGGAGCTGATAGAAAGTGGCAGTTCCTGCAACCAGCAGCTCGTTTAGAGCTGTGAGGAGGAAGTTGCGGACAGAAGGGTGTTTTGAGCTGGTCATTTAGGCTAAGAGTCAGCATGGATGTCCTCATCACTGAGCCAATGACACGTTTAATAAGTGCTAGGACAGAGTGACTGGCAGGGAAGAGACAAAGGGGCAAATTGCACCCGTGTGAGTTGAGATTGCTGTTTTCTAACCTCCTTGGTCTCCATTTAAAATCTGGTTATGTCTGGGGGATACTTTTCTCAAGACACAGTGTGCTTAGCAAACCTTGCATGGATGTCTTTTAACAGAAGGCAGGGAATTACTTTTAGAGTTTATTTCTAGGCTATCTTGAAAGACAAAAGGTTTTCCAGGACAGCTTGTGCATGTAAAAGAAATGAAACCTGAATAAAAGCAGCGGAATACAAAAGTTAAACTACCTCTCCCAAGCTGTAAAATCAACACATTTCAACTGGTGCCTGGATGGAGTAATATTACATATTCAGTGGCATGTTTGAATAAATAAAATGTTTCTCTCTCTCTCTCTTCTTCTCTCTCTCTCTCTTTCTGTGTCTCTCTTAAAAGCTGGCAGTGACAGCATCTGAAGGACCTGCAGACAGATAGAAAATCACAGTAGGTCAATACTTAGCTAAAAAGATAAAACGGTTTAAATATGCCAGTAAACTTTGTACAGAGGAGGGAGGGTGCTTTGAGAAGAAGTATACTCATTTTTAAATAAGTGGCATTTATCAAAAATGGTAAATGGTATTTGAAAAAGCAAATCCACAGCCCAATGCAGACTATAAATTTTAGAGTGCATAGAATTAGTATCAGTGTATTTTCTCATCGCGGTTTCTGGATTTTACATTCTCCTCCAACACTTCTGTATTCTAGTAGGAAAAATAAAAAAGGTTATGTGTACAGATGGTTAACTGCTCAAATGCCCAGAAGGTTCAACTCATCTGCGTTGCAAAGATGAGGAGAATTTTCCATTGACTAATTCACAGGTGTTAAAAGCTCTGGATTATATTCACGTCTTGCCATATTGTTTGATCAAATATCTTAGTTTCAATTTGAGAATATGCAATGTTAATTATTATTATATACACAACGTGAAATCACAACTGCCAGTTCTTTACTTGGTGTTGGCCTTTATATACATCAAATTCTTCCGAAGAACCTGGGATGTTGTATTGTCTCTGCGTAACATATGGGCGGATCCAAGTAATGTGGCCTTTTGTAATTGACAGATGGAAATTCCATCAATGTACAGATTTTCTAAGTATTATCATTATCATTATTATCCATGCCGATTCCTAGAGAAAATAGGACATGTGGAACATGTGGACTGTATAGTTGTTACAAATAGAGGCTCTGGGCCACTTGCATGATTGAGTTGGTTCTCTTTTTCTGTGACATATTGTGTTGCCTCGGGTCAGCGACTCATGGCTTGCTGCCCCTTGTCATCATGGTTGTAATTTGGCAAGTGATGATAATTATTTTCTGCCTTATGCTAGGCAAGACCTTTCTCCTTCTCCATCTCCCTCTTATTCAGCAGTAACCAGAATCACACACACACACACACACACACACACACACACACACACACACACAGGAAGATATTTAAAAATTTTGGCTGGCATACTAGGAGAACAGAAAAGCACAATTTCTTTCACCATTAGAAGAAGCTGTGTCGGCACCACACTTTGGCAGCTATCTGTCTAAAGGAAGATGCAAAGGCAGTGCTTACTGTAAGGTCTTGCTTAAGAAAGGTTTAATAGGAACTATGAGTAAAATTTTAAAAAAACCTACTCACTATGATATATATCACTATTATAAGCAAATCTGCCAGCCAAGTAAAAGTGCAGTAAGTACTTTTCCTATTTTTTTAAAAAAGGAGTTAGATTTATTATATATTTGTTGTGTTCATATTTTCTACAATCCATATATAAATTGATATATATTCTTTCTGCATTACGTAACAAAAATACCAGCACTTTCTTCATTTAATGTTTCTGGAAGAGTGTCTGGAAATACAAAGCTAACGCTGCATTTTTACACAGCCACCAATCATACATTTGTGTTGTCATTATCCCAAAAACAGTACCCAGAGTAGCATTCACGATCATCCTCAAACCATATAACTGTTAAGGTACAAGTACCAAAATGTGCAAAAGTTCCCAAAAAGAGATGTTTGATGATTGGCAGAGACAGTGTTCTTCTCAACCTCTCTGTATCTTTCGTCACTATTGACCATGAATTGCCAGAGATTTAGGAATAGGAGGCACTGCTTAATACTGGTCTCATTCCACTCTCTGACAGATATTTCAGATGGTGTTGCTTGGAGACAGTTGTTCTGCTAAGTAGAAGCTATTATATGATCTCCTGCAGGGCTCCATTCCATCTCTAATACGCTGCAATCTCTGCAGGAAGCCTCTTGGGGGAACCACCTGGAGGTCTGCAGATGGGCTTGTCAATACATGGATGCCAACCAAATCTATTTCTCGGTAACAGCTCCAAGAAAAGCGTGGCTCGCTGATCAACTCTGTAGTCATTACAGTTGGAGGAGACATAATAAATTAGGCTGAACCCAGGCAAGGCAGTGATTCTTATAGGAGGTCATAATTTCAAGTAAATGACTTATCCTCTTTTTCTGTGCCGTATTGCATTCCTTCAGAAAAAAGATGTACAGGTAGCCCTTGACTTACCACCACAACTGAGCCCAAAATTTCTGTTGTTAAAGTGAGACAGTTGTTAAATGAGTTTTGCTCCTTTTTATGACCTTTCTTGCCACAGTTGTTAAGTGAATCACTGCCGTTGTTAAGTTAGTAATATGGTTGTTACATGAATGTGACTTTGCTTGCCAGGTTGCAAAAGATAATCGTATGACCCTGGGACATCGCAACTCTCATAAATATGAATCAGTTGCCAAGCATCTGGATTTTGATCACATGACCCTGGGGATGCTGCAATGATCGTAAGTTTGAAAAACAGTCATAAATTGCTTTTTCAGTGCCATTGTATCTTCAAATGGTCACTCACTGAATGGTTGTAAGTTGAGGACGATCTGTATTCTGGACTAGTTCTTATCCAGGTCATGGTCTGATTTTCTAGACTGAACAATGAGGAACATCTATCACTTTTGCTGAGACTGCCTGTCTATAACTCTCAATATGAATACTAATATGTATTCACATCTGGTCTATGACACAGAAGACATGTATTAATCAAAATATCCTTTCAAGCATCTAGTTTCAGCTTCAGGGCTTGCCATTATATAGTTCAAATATAGAAAACTTCTGGTGCTCTTATAGCCTCCTGCCCTAACTATAAAAAATAAGATTATAATCTTGGCCCTTCAAGACTAACCCTCCTCTACCCACATTAAGGAACCCATGGCTTAAGATGCTCCCTCAACATGCCTTAAAGAGTGACTTCTCGATGAGCTAGTTCTGGAATTTGTGTGAGCGTCTAGAGGAATGAGGAGGGAATGCGTGCATTTGTGTAACTCTGTGGGATGTCTGATCCATGTCCAGGCAAAACATTTTGTGGGAAAATGTTCCTGCCATGCAGTGTTCCTATCCTCTATTAGCACACTTTCAATGCTCTTATTACCTCCTAGCCAAAATAAACTAATACTTCAGATTCAGGGAAATGCATAATTGTATACATGAGAGCTTCATATATAATACAAGTGGAAATGATGCATTGTTTGAACATTTTGCTTTTAAACAGTTTGTTTTTAAGCTGAATTCCCTAGATCCAGTTCCCTTGTGGAAATAGGGGGCCCTTTTCACCAATCTTAGTCACCTTTGCCACCTGTTTTCTCCTCATCTATTCTTTGGTCTAAAAGAGATGGTCAAATGAGGTGTTGGTGAGGACAAGAAGCACGAGGAAGATTCATTGACTGCTTACCAGCACCAAGCCTGGCCAACAAGACGTAGGAGCAAAGTGGTTGAAATGTCCACTGAAGAGCTTTCCCAAAAATCCTATTCCTCCAATAAAATCCAGTGTGCAAAGGAATCCCAAAACAGAGGCATTTAGCATGCTCATAAATACTCTGACTCTTGATAATTGCAGTTTCTTCTTCTACAGCAGAGCTCTCCAAACTTGGCCAGAACAGACGAGTTGGAAGGGACCTTGTAGGTCATCTAGTCCAACCCTCCTCTCTGCCCAAACAGGAGACCCTGCCTACACCATTTCTGAAGATGGCAGTCCAGTCAATTCTTGAAAGCTTCCAGCGATGAAGCTCCCACAACTTTTGGGCCACTTTCAGACTTGTGGACTTCAACGCCTAGAATTCTCCAGCCAGTCCCCAAATCTTAAAATGGCCAAGTTTGGAGACTCCTGTTCTAGAGGAGCGAGGTTGAGATGAAAAAACAAAACAAAAAAAACTTTAATTTTTGATTCCTGATGACTTGCGTGGTGAGGCAAAGAAAGTTACGCGTGGAAAGCACCTCTGCAAATTTCTCCCCCTGGTAAGACTGGCTGCAAAGTCTCCACACCTGTTCATCCTGACAGGTCAGAAGGCACCAGATTTTGGGGAGGGAGACGGAGTGCACAGAAGAAGAGGACAGTGTAGCCTTGGAGTTGCTGGGTTCCCCCCCCCCCCCCAAAAAAATCCTGGTGTAAATGGCAGAGACACCCCTCTAACTTCTCATAAACACCCCATTTAAGCATCTCTGGGTTTTCTAAAAACAGCCGTGGAATCTGATTTCATCAAAAGAGGAGCAAGTAATGAGAAACAGCTTCCGAGAGGTTGTTGGGGCAGTGTGAGAACTTGGCCCCGCCGTGCAGAGCGTTCCAGAGAGAGGAGTGCCAATACAAAAAAACAAAACAAAACACCCCACAAAAACATCTTTTAAAGGAATCGGGATATACACTGAACTGGCGAGAAGCTTCAACCCACAACAAAAGGAACTCCCCCACCCCCTTTCCCCCCCCTCCTCCTTCCCATTTGCTTGAGTTTTCCTGCCAGAAAAGGCGGTGGGACTCGTTTCCTAGCAACGGGCCCCAGCGCCCGCCCTCTCTCCGTGGAGAGTCTTTTACCCCTAGGGGGAGCCCATCAGCTGTCAGCTTCCAGCAGGGCGCCGGGTTTAATTTACTAGCTCCTTCTGGGATGCCGGCAAGCTGTCGGAGGGCACAGTTTTGGAGTATCTGCCCCGACAAGACGGGGCAGCATCCGGCAAGAGGAAAGGTAACGTTTCCTGCTTGGAGGAGGCCAGAGAAATTTCCAGCAAAATCCTTGAGAAGTGCAAAGATGACCCGCCCCTCCCACTTCTTAAACGGAGCTGTGTAAGCACAGCGCGCACTAAATCTTTCTTGGGTTTTAAAAGATTTTCACGTTAGGGAATTCCCAAGAGAAGTTATGCTAACACCTGCGATTTTTAATTTATGATCTTTAACAGCAGGCCTTATTTGCCCGTTGGATTAAAGTTGGGGGGTGTGTGTGTGTCCTTGGTACGTTTTCTTGCAGATGTTTCATTACCCAAACTTAGTAGCAGCATCAGCACAGATGATGTTACCTAGTAAGGTAATGAAACGTTTGCAAGAAAACAGCCGAACTCAGAGAGCACAAAGGACTTCTCATTTCAACCCTGAGCTACAAATATTCTCCTTTATCAATTAAAGTTGGCAGCCCACAAATCATGGTTGTCAGCAGACCTTCATCAACAACCTTATTAATTGTGTCCCACTGGATTCTCAAACTACTACTATAGTCACCTCCAGCCGGGTGTTCCCATGAATGGGGATTATGGGAACTAAAAACAACACATGTGGAAACTGCTTTCCTAGTTTTGCTCATCCCTTGTTTTCTTTTTCAAGAAAACAAGAGATGGAACATAATTGAGATTTCTGTACTTGGTGCAGAAATCTGCATTTATATCTTAACTATACAATTAATATTAATAAATGAGTGCCAGATTGGGAGCAGAGAGACCTGAGTTCAAGGTCCTGCCTTAAGCATGGAAGCAAACTGGGTGATTTGGAACAGTTCCCCCTTAGAAAGAAAAAGGCAATAACAAATCATTTCCAAAAAATGTTGCTAAGAAAGCTGCATGGACTTATTCATAGTTCCTCCAGGAAGCAGTCCAAGGCACAAATATTATTTATACTCACAAAGTATATGGATGTGTAAATGTATGTGCTTTCATTATGTGAAGCTTATACAACTATACACACCCTACAACTAAATATGATCAGCATAAGTATCCCCAAACAACTGATGTCTTCTAAAATGACTTCTGTGTATGCGTGCGTGTATTTCACGATCACAACTATTCCTTAGAGAAGGGGATGAGAATGAAGATAGCTACAAGGAGTGAAGAAGGATTTTTTTAAAAAGAATTCCTTATCTAAAGAGAGTATATACATGTGTTATGTTCTTCTCAGAAACTGGGAAAGGAGACTATTTTGGAACAAAAAGTCAGCTCTGAAGATATACATATTCTTCCTTTATCAGGAAAATGGACAGTCAGTATTCCTGTCCATTAAAATGTGGTTAGAAAAATAAGAATGATTCTAATTGAAATTCCTGTGACTTTATTCCTTTTCTCTTTCAATAAATTTGATTATAGAGATTTTGGTAAGATCATGTAATCAACCCGATATTTAGGCTAGATTGGCATTTTTATCTATCAAGTCCTACCCAACGACCTGGGATAGGCCAATGTTGTTATTGATGGTGTTAAAGGTATTATTGCAGGGTGTAAACTCTTCTAAGTAAAACTGCCTTTTGCAATTGACTGGTGATTTTGTCAAGGCACCTATTAACTATTGATATTATCTTTGCTTTCTTTTGCCATAGTTCTACTTCTATTTGCAGATCTTCGTATTTTGTGATTTTCTCTAATTCTTTCTCTTCTCTTTTGCTGTCTCCAAGCATTGCTATGTCCACTTTCCAGACTTCTTTGTCTTTCTCATCAACATTTGTTAAATCTGGGATGTTAAGTGGCAGGTGCTCATCTATTTAAATTCTAAAGCTAGAACGTTTTAGATTCTTTATTTTCTCGACTTTGTCTGTCTTGTGGCCCCATCAGTTCTTGCTTTTAGGCAAATAGTATTTCTTGCAAGTATTTCTTGCACATATTCCAATGCACCATTGTTGTTACTTTGTTGTGTCATTGTTTGTATTATTATACACAACAGTGTGAAATCACTTCTGCTAGTTCTTTAGCTGGTATTGGCCTTCATAGGCATTGAGTTCTTCCCAGGATGTCATAATGTAATACTAATATTACATTATTACATGATGTACGGTAATAGTCATACTATGAGCATAGCATATATGTGGATCCAAGTGGAGTGGTATTTTGTAGCTGAGATGGAAATGTTGTCAATCTTCATATTTTCTAATGCTGTCCAAAATTATTTGGTATGGCAAAAAAATGCATTCGGAAACCAAAGTAAGCTGCTCCATTGCTGGGTTGTGTGAGCTATCTTAGAAGTGGCCACCATTTTCCAAGTGAATTGGGGCTCCTAGAAAATGGTGGCCACTTCCAGGATTGTGTCACATAGCCCAGCAATAAAGCGGATTGCCTCGATTTCCTTAGTGACCTCTGGAGCTCCTGAGATCTCCAAAAGGTAAGTGTGCAATGTCTAATGTGGGATGAGGAGGAAGGTATGGGCTGGTGATTGGGGGAAGCAGCCCCAAGGCCTTTCACGCTCCTGGGAAGTGGAGCATTGGGTGCCTCTGGGTCTGTAGGGGGCCTAATAACCTACACATTCATTTAATAACTCTATCAAGGAAGAGCAGAGATGGGAGGTTGCAAGTGTTGCAATCATGTTGGTGCTTCACTTAATGGCCATCATAACTTCCAACCATAATGGGCAGGCTCCATTACAGTTGTGCGTCGAGGACAACCTGTAAACCTCTCCCTCCATTTCTGTGGGGCAGATATATTCTGTCGATATCACTATGAGGTCACAATGCACAGTGAAAGTTATTATCTTTCTTGTTTTTCAGACCAAACTATGAGTTGGTGTCCAGTTAATAATTCCAGCAGTGCATCGTATCACAGCCATATTCATTCTCATATTGGCATTGTGACCCATATCTCAGATTTTACTGTTGTACTTATTATTAATTTATTCAGAGTAGTTAAATCTCAAAATTTCACACCTTATTAGAAATTTCTGTTCCAGGTATATGCTAAAAATAAACAAGGCTACCCTTTAAGCAAGATTTGTATTTCCAATCAGATGAAATCAGACAGAACTAAAACTAAATGCTTGAAATCACCATGTATGTAAGGGCAGAAAATACTATTTTATTATTTTTATTACTTTTAGTTCTGCTCCTTTTTATTATACACACTTGTGTTACTTACAGTAAATAGGAAATCATTGTCTTTATAGGAAATTAGTTAATACCATACAACAATCCTTGTTTTCCCTAATACAATATTTTCCTTGAAAGCTGATTAGAACAGTGGCTGGTCTGGCAATGTTTCATTATTCATATGTTTTTATATGATTTTAGAGGAATAGTTTATTCCATAATGTAGGGGACTTAATTGATGTTTTATAGTATGGGTGGGTTTTATGTTTTTGAACATTAGCCGGAGTCTGGTGATAGGAACAGTGAAAAAAATACAATAAATAAAGAAATCTGATTGAGATAAGTATGACAATATATTATTATTAATGATTGATAATTTTGATAGAATAATAAGATTCTTTCCAATAATGAGCATGCACATATGTGTATATTTGTGTACATATTTCTGTATCTTTAATTATATAACATCCACATCTATATCTATTCATCAAGTGTACCAGAGAACTATCATGCTAGGACGAAAATCTGGTCTCTAATAGTTTTAAGTTGTTAGGAAGTCATATGATCAAAACTCATTAGCATCTGAAACGGCTTCCAAATTCTGAAAAGAACTTCTGTACAATACTTAAGAGTTAGATCATCCTGTAACAGGATGGATCTTTTTCTCCAAATATTTATTTGTATTCCCACGCTTACAGCTTCATTGAAACTTTTTTTAAAAAAGAGAAAGAATACAGTTGCCAAGATAACAGCTAAATTTTTCTTGCTGGATGCACTTAAATTTCTAGGCAGGCATCGATGCAGACTCACACTGGCCTTTCTCTCACTGTGTAAAAAAACTAGTAACAATATTCTTTCCGAAATAAATGTCTCACTGTGGGGTGACTGAACAGAACATTGCTATAGTCTTTCTGAAGCATATAAAATGGGAATATGTAGCCCAACAGAGAGAAAGTGAAGTTCCTACGTACACAAAGCAATAGGACATTAATTGCATTTGCTGAAATGCTCCGAAAGTAGAATGTGGTTGAGCATAAGTTCCAGGTTATTTGAATTAATGCAGTTTCCCCATCTGCAGAAACTGAAAGTTACCTTTTAAAAAAGAGCAGCAAGTTGAATAGATAGAAGTCATGGACTAAAAAGTGCATATCTAATACAGGCGGCTTGACAATCCTGTTCAAGGAGAAAGTGAAGAAGGTAAGTATGACAGTATAAAGAAAAGCCTTCAAAAACATCAAAGGCCATGCTCAAATGTATGGCAAGGATGGAAAAAACCCCATTCCAGTTGCTATAATATATCACAGACTGTCAATTTATTAATAGATGCTTCTAAAATAGACATGGGAGGGGACATAACAACTTTGACGGTGCCAGCATCAAATTCTACGCAAAAGAATGAAAGATTAACTACAGAATATTCACTGGTGTGAAATGGAAGCTGAAAGAAGGCAGATCGCAAACATCTGGTGTTGCTTTGTAATAAAACAATTCATTAATGACACTTGGGAAAAGAGAAATGAAGTGATTCTCAGACAATATTTTGTCATGGAATAGTTAACTTTGGAGGAGAAGGCAGAGTTGTTTGGCTCCTGTCTAGGATTTAGACCTCCATCGGCCACACATGTTCATTTGTGAATCTGGCTTTAGATATTTTCTGGGAAACCAGTACTAATTTGATCATTGTGGTTGAAATGAAGCTTGCAACCAAATGAAATTAGTGAAGTTGCAAGTTCCAAATCTGTATTTTACTCAACTGAAACATATTTTAAAACTGTTAATGTAATTGAAGTTCTCAGGACAATAGTATGACACAGAATGCAGGTACATTTTTAAGATGTGGAAACTGCCAACATCTAAATGAGGTTCTTAGCAAAATTATCTCCATTGGCTTGTCAGTAAATATTTGTGTCTTTGATTCCTTTAATCATGTGTTCTAATATACAATAAAGTATTTAAGAAGCATGTTATATATGGAATTAACAAACTTAAACTTGAACAACATTCCTTTATGTGATCGTTACAGTTTGCAAACATTTTCCCTTCTTTTTCTCTTTTTCCCTTAGGTGGCCTGAATGTGTCGCTCACTAACAATTTGGCAACAAACTGCAGCAAAGAGCTGCACACTAAATTAGTTTATCCTTAAGCATAATGTTCTTTTCCATTTTAACTGAGCATAAAATTTTATCTTTTAAGAATCTTTGGGAAGGGAGGTTTGATGCTTTTTCAGTAACTCAGTATGACATATGGTCTGCCTTTCCAAGCATCAGTTTGATTTGCCACATATAGTATCTGCAAATTTGAGTGAGTTTTGCTGTGAAAACAAGTAATGATTTATTCCCCCCTTCATTCTAAAGAAGAGAATAAAAATTATCTTTCCTTAAAATTTTAAGCAACATAACTTACGTTTCTACATGCATTTTGTGGGTGGTTATGTACTAAAGTTTCCTGTAATTCAAAGTCATACATGGGATTCTGAATGGGCAAGGCTGTCCAAGTATCTTCATAATCAGAAAATATTTCCAATCAACATTCAAGAAGCCTAGTTTTATACAGTTTTCCATACACAGATGCTTCAATCGCCTCCTTTTTATCACCATCATTATCAAATTAGTAGTTAGGTGATTTTATCTAGTTATTCAACAACTGGAAAATAGCAAGTTTCTCTGAACTTTTAATAAGGGATCAGTGGGTGATAAAAGAAATTAAAGGCCAGGTTCGTTTCACATTTTTTTCTGGGAGAAATTGTTGAAAATATTATTAAAAAGAAAGTGACCATGCATTAAAAAAAATGAGCCTTGTTGAAAAGGCACTTGACTTTCACAGAAGTATTTGTATTTGTATTTATTAATTTGTCAAACATGTACAAGATAGCAGGTATAAATATAAACATCGATATGAATGAAAGAAATGAATACAAATAAATGGGGACAGTAGGACAAGGAGGGTAGGCATGCTGGTGCGCTTATGCACGCCCCCTTTATGGACCTCTTAGGAATGGGGTGAGGTCCACGGTAGACAGTTTAAGGTTGAAGCTGTGAGGGTTAGAGGATGTAACAATAGACTCAGGTAGAGCATTCCAGGCGTTGATCACTCTGTTGCTGAAGTTGTATTAAGTATATCGTGTCTTACTGACTTTCCATCATACCATTTTCTCAGTGAACAGATAAGGATGGCCAAGTTGTGTAATGGATTGGTAACAGATAGGGGTATCCATGAGGGCTGATAAAAAAAAGTCAAATGATGGCTCCAATAATGTCAGTGAAACTCCACCTCTTTTATAGGAATGAATGCATAAATGGGTGGGGCTTCAATTGCAAACTTGTGGCCACCATTTTGTCTTTTTTGAGCCCCCGTTCCCCCTATAGCTATCCCTGGTAACTAATTATAAAAAACCCCAAAAAAACAGTATGGCTAGATGGGTCATTTTCATACTGGCAAAGTGTGGTCTCTCAGGGATCGATTCTGGGATGTATTTTTTTCCCTTGTGTACAAAAGATCTGGATTTACAGCTGAGACAGAGAGAGTGAGTCCTGAAGTCATTTTATGTAATTTGTTTCCAACATTTTGTTGAGTTGGAAAGAATTAAAAAGGAGATGCCATGCTTCAGTTAATTAGGAAAGGAACTGAAAAATAGAACTGCCAATATTACAGTGTCAGTATATAAATCTATGGTGAGACCAATCTTGGAGTATTGCGTACTGCAGATATTCAGAGTGTTGTTTATGTGTAGAGAATCAAGGAGAGACAACCTTGAGGGTCAAGAACCATTATATAAGCCAACAGGGCTGAAACCCTGGGTAATGAAGGAGTAAAACAAATACATGAATCAAAACCGCCAAACTAGAAAGGACCCTGAACTCATCTGAGCCTCCCTAACATCTTGCTTAGGAGTTTGCATATGCTGACTCATGGGTTATCTTAAATCAACACTTGTAAATTTAAACGGGAACTACCCACAAAAACTGCCTAGTGCCAACCTCCACTTCATTATTCTGCTTATCTTATTATAAATAGGAAATCCAAGCCATGTTGTGATTGGTGTTTGGCACCCTCCTTCAGTGGGCAGAACCTTGGAGTCTGTTCCTAGCACTGTTCAAATAAACATGATTCAAAGCACATTGTTTGGTCTCAACTTCTAAATTGGGTAATGGGGAATTTTTTCTTCCTCAGAAACAAGATAGTACATTTGTTTAGAGACCATTTGAAGTTACAACGGCCTTGAAAAAAGTGACTTACGATTGTTTTTCACACTTATGACCATTGTAGCATCCCCATGGTCACATGATCAAAATTTGGACACTGTGCAGCTTGGCTCATATTTATGACAGTTGCAGTGTCCCTGGGATCGTGCGAGATCACCTTTTGCGACCTTCTGACAAGCAAAGTCAATGGAGAAACCAGATTCACTTAACAACCGTGTTAGTAACCGAACCACTGCAGGGATTCACTTAACATCTGTGGCAAGAAAGTAAAATGGGGCAAAACTCACTTAACAACTGTCTGACTTAGCATGGAAATTTTGGGCTCAGTTGTGGCTGTATGTCGAGGGCTACTTACAGTATATTAGGAAAAATATGGCAGACTCCTCCCTGATTTATGAGATATAAGAAGGAGGAGTTTAAAGCACATTCAGTTCTGCAAGATTTTATTACTATAACCTCTCCTTAATGAAGGTTAGTTCTAGGAATCAGATTTCTTATCTGGTCTGTTTCAAAGGACTGGCAATATTCTGGACACTGCACCTTAGGAAAGTTATTATAGAGTTAAAAAGGTGGAAAAAAAAGTAATAACAAGATTAGGGAAGTTCCCCTCTGAAGAAATACTGAAACACTTAGGATTCATTTGTTGGGAATGATGGTGAGTTAGGACAGCTAAGATAAAATCTTTTTGATACCAGAGATAATTTGGATGGAGATCTTTTTTTCTTCATGTCTCGACTTGAAGACATCTATAAAAACTACATGCAAGGGAATTTGGTGGAAGGAAAGACATTTTTTCCAGTTAAACTATAGATTTTTCTGGCAGTGGCTGTGATAATGGCAGCCAATTTGTGTGATTTTAAAAGAGGGCTAGATATTTTATAAAGGACCAGATTATCCATGGTTACTAGAGGCATATGAAGAGACCAGCATTTACTGTCTCTGGACTTGGAGGCCACATGCCAGTATATGACTGCTAGAAAACAATGTAAAAAACAGTGTAAAAAAATGGCAATCTCCATCTAGGGCAGCCTTGTGAACTTCCTAAGTACACGCAGCTGGCAACTGTATAATTCTGAATGCTGGTCCCTTCATATGCCCTCTTTGCACCATATTGCCTAGAGCTTTGGTCAGACTCTAGATTAATTTTAAGCTTTCTAAAAATAATACATAGAATAGAATAGAATAGAATAGAATAGAATAGAATAGAATAGAATAGAATAGAATTCTTTATTGGCCAAGTGTGATTGGACACGCAAGGAATTTGTCTTGGTACATACACTCTCAGTGTACATAAAAGAAAAGATACATTCGTCAAGAATCATAAGGTACAACACTTATTGATAGTCATAGGGTACAAATAAGCAATCAAATCATATTAGGAAACAGTCAATATAAATCGTAAGGATACCAGCAACAAGGTTACAGTCATAGAGTAATAAGTGGGAGGAGATAGGAACAATGAGAAGATTAATATGTAGTGCAGACTTAGTAAATAGTTTGACAGTGTTGAGGGAATTATTTGTTTAGCAGAGTGATGGTGTTTGGGAAAAAACTGTTCTTGTTCTCTAGATAAATGATCACAGGAACAGCAAAGGATAGCTTAATTGCCTAATCTTGCAACAATGCTTAAACTCTAGATTCAGAGATACTGGTAAAATCTGAAGAGATTTGGAATTCCTGTTCCTACATCAAGTATGGTTTGTTAGTAATCACAGACTTTTAATTTAGCCCCTATCACTTGATTGCTACATATGTTTTTTTAGGTTAATAGAGAATTGAAGTATTTTAAGAAAACAAAAGCAGAATCATTAAAATGATTTTTTTTTCATATTCAGACTGAGTTTTACTGGTCAGTGTGTGAACAGTTTCCATTGAAACATTCTATCTATCTACCCTGTTTCGCCCAAAATAAGACATCCCCTGACAATAAACCCAATCCGGCTTTTGAGCGCATGGCTATAAGG